TATATATATATATATATAAAATATGGGGAGTATAACTTTTAGCTAAAATATACTTCTTAAATATCGCAACTATGTTATATTTATTCTGTATGGAAAAATACTAATGGGCTTAGTTTAAAGTAGATTTTTTTATCTGAAGAAAGTAAAAGTGATTAGTTGAACAAACAATTCAATGAAGGTCAATGATTTCCCCACTTAACTTACAGAAAACAGAGTAAGCTGACAGTACCACATACACAGCAATATTACCAAGAAGCTTGTGAACTAGCAGACAGACTGAAGTTTTACATGCACCAACAATAGGAATATCAACAAGCAGTCGACTAGATGATTCACTGATAAGCCTACGCTTATCGGTTCATCTATCAACTACTCACATTCCCCCCCACACACTGCCTCCGTATCAGAGGCAGCAAGGGGGGTGGTGGGAAAGCAGGAGCTGGTACTGGGCAGAGCCACTGTCCACGGGAGTCCGAACTAGTTTTTAAACTGGCTTCCCTCGTGGACTGGCTCCTAGCTGGCACACCGCCCTGCTGCCTCTATATTAGGGTAGGGGGCTCTCTAGGAGTGGTGTCAGAGTGCACTGGCTGCTGGCACCACCCCCGGAGACTATAGCTGGCTAACGACTAAGAATTAATGTGGTTAGTTAACTACTCTACTACCCGCTATCTAACATCCCTATCCAACAATGCATACCTCCCTGGAGTACCCCCGTCTCAAAAATTTTTTTATATTTCCATGAATTTGCAAAATAATGCTAAAGAATTAAAACTGAACTAATAATTATCCACTAAAACATGTACAATATCTAAAATAATAACTTTATAAAGTTATGAACACTTTGGTAAGACAAGGTAATAAAAGGACAAGAGAGGAAGCTCCTATCTCTTTTAAACTTCTCTCCTATTCCCTACCCCATTCATGTCCTCCAAATGGCAATTTATTTAGATCTGGGCTATGACTAGTAATGTTAGGATTAGAGTTAATAGTTAGAACTCCAGAGCAAGTCAAATTACAGTCATGAAAATGTTGTGTCTTCCTCTCCCTAGTTCTTTAGGATAAAGCCCAACATACTTTAAGGAGGGGGGGGGGGAGAGAAAGGGAATAATTTGCACTGTATCCCTGAGGATTCTCCATTTGTTCTTCCACATTAGGCATAACTAGCAATAAAATTCACCATCTGAGCAGGACTGAGAAGATCCCACTGAACCCTATCATGACATTCCTTAAGAGAGCTGAGAATTCAATACAGAGGCAACCAAGATACTTGGGTAGTTCGTCCATACTCTGCTGATTTGGAGAGCAAAGAGACCAGGACATGGCACTTCTGAGAACAAATAGTAGAAGAGAGACCTATTGATAAACATTAATAGTCCAGGAGACAAATTCATGTCTAATTCTAAGCATATAGGTGATGTACAAGGTGCACAAAACCTATTTAACCAGCTAGCTCAGATTAATTACATACCAAAGAAAAAATTGCTTTTCTGGGATGGAACTGCACCTATCTTTGTGAGCCTATGGTACAAACATGTCATGAAATCCACTAGAAAATGTAACTTTCTGTAAAGTGGTAGTTTATGTTGCCAAAATAACTCTGGAGCAGACTTGGGCATTTCAGCTCTATCAGTAGTAGAAATACAGAACATTGTGTTAGTCACACAGTTATATAGTTCAAGGGCAGAAGAGACCACAAGATCATCTCTGACCTCTGATTACAGTATGCCTTCTGTACACTTTTAACCAACAACCAATGCACTGACATTAGACCAAATTATCACAGTCCACAGGAGATTAAACTACTATGTGACACTGGCACAGCACTGGAGAGATCAAGGTGCACCAGTACTTGAAGCTACTGCCATTATAGAGAATGAAGTGTGGAACACACACATGATCCTAGCAAGCAAACCTCACTGCACTGACGGGCACCAAAACCAAAAAAAAATCAAGGTCATGGCCAATCTGATCTGGGAGAAAATTCCTTCCTGACCCAACTTACAATAAGCAGCTAGAAAGACCCTGAGCACGTGAAGAAGAACCAGTCAAGAAATGAGAGAGAAAGATAGAATGCTCAGTACAACTTTAGAGCACTCACCCATCCTGGCCAGACCCTTCTCCAGCTGTGGCCGTCTCTGATGCTTTAGGGGAAGGAGAAAGACGCCCCCTCAAAAAAAAAAAAACCCACACAAACCACACCAAAACCCCACCTCACTCGAATTTATCTGGTGGCTGTTAAAAATGAATTACAGGCAGTCCCCGGGTTACGTACAAGATAGGGACTGTAAGTTTGTTCTGAAGTTGAATCTGTATGTAAGTCGGAACTGGCATCAGCCACTGCTGAAACTGATCAGTTTCAACAGCCGCTGAATCTGGACACCAGTTCCACTTACATACAGATTCAAGATAAGAACACCAGGCGTCCCCAAGTCAGCTGCTGCTGAAACTGATCAGCAGCTGATTCCAGGAAGCCCAGGGCAGAG